ACAGTTACAAATAGAACTTGGTTTACAATCTCCTAGTAACAAATTTATACGATACATTTCTTATTTAAATAATTATATTTATATACCTAATAATAATAATAATAATAATAATAATTGTTTTTTTAAATAATATATTTTTGTAATTTTACATATAATATTATATAATAATTATTCGTAAGAGATGAAATCAGCCATTGTAATAAATATTTTATCATATATAAAAATACTTTTAATTATAAAGAACATTTATTTTCAAGATGGTGGATCACTGAATCACTCCGATCGGAAATAACTATAATTCATACCATGTAATTCTATATCTTGAAAACAATCCAAAATATATATTCATATTAGCTGTCTGAAGTATTTCAACCTCAATAAACATACATAAAATAAATATATAAATACATGTTTATAATAGTATACTTGCCAAGTATCATAGAATCTAGTAAACTGGACGGAAGTGTATGGAACGAACAAAATAGTTCATTCTAACACGAACATAATTATTCGCTATAGTTACATGACTGATACATGACTAAGGCCAATTAAGTCGTATTGCCGATAATAAAAAAGTAAGGAGAGGGGGGAGAAAAATAATTATTAACGATAACATACACGCAACCATTAAATGATTTATTTCGATAACATTTACATTCCTCATCGAACATACTCTATTATTGTTCTAAGTTTTGTTATTACATTTTTACCGAATTTTCTTTTTATTATTATTTTTCCTTCCCCCTCTCTCTCTCTCTCTCTCTCTCTCTCTCTCTCTCTCTCTCTTATTCTCTTCATACCTTCTCCCATTTTTGTTCTCGATCTTTTATCATAAAACAACGTAACGACACACTTATATACGTAAATACATACAACCATGTAGCAGATATAATTACATATATGTGCATATGTGTGTATCTGTGTGTGTGCAAATACATATATATATATCTTCATGGGTTACATATATATATATATGTAGACGAAATAAACGTTATGAAAAAAATTTGCTCTAAGGCAAACGCGAGAAGAGAAGAATATATATGTATATATTTATATATATATATATATATATGTCTCTTTCTCTCTCTTTGACTGTTCTCTTCAAATAATCGTACAGCACAGCATTCTCTCTCTCTCTCTCTCTCACATATTCTCTTTTCCGTAATCGTAAAAATAATCGTGCGGTACAGCATTCTCTCTTCCTCTCTATTTCTCTTATTTTTATCTGCTCTCTCTTACTCCCCCGTTTGTATAGTCTATTCTCTCTCTCTCTCTCTCTCTCTCTTACTTTTTCCTTGGTTAAATATTAACAAGAATAACATTTTTTTTCGAAGAAAAATATTTACATATATACTACACATATATATATATATATATATATAATATCACTCGTGACCTAATTTTCTCTATAATCCCTGAATTCGTTAGTCGTTAGCCTACTATTCGGCACGCGACTCTCTTTTTCCCGCGTAAAGAGAGAACAAAATACAACATAACAAACTGTACACGACGGCATATTTCCCAGCCGTTGCTTTCGTTGTTGCGAATAAAGAATTGTCCTTGCTCGATAGAAAGCAGGTGAACTCTCTCTCTCACTCACTCACTCTTCTTCTCTTATCCTTCGAAAGGTGTGTGTGTGTGTGTGTGTGTATTCGTGTAAGTGTGCGCTCGCGCATCCATCTCTCTTCGTTACTTCTTTTTCCACTTCTTCCACATCCACCCCTTTTTCCTACTCCTCCTCCTCCTCCTCCTCCTCCTCTTACTTCTACTTCTCTTCCTCATCTTTCTCCAGCTTCATCGACACGGTTGTAATGTAGATGAAAGATAAATCGTTGAAAAGAATACGAAAAGAGTCGAAGCTCTGATAGTGTGAGAAAAAACGAAACGTTCGTTTCAGATTGTCTAAAAGGTTTTCATGTATTATCATTTAACGCTCTACTATCTTTTTATCCTGTCCCCTTTTTTGTTTTTTTTTTCCACGCCCCCTCCTTTTTCTTTTTTTTTTCTCTACTTTGCATTTTTTCTTTTTTTTTTTTCTTTTTTTTTCGAATCGAAGAACACAACTTTTGCACCATCGAGAGTTTCACGTACAATTATCAAAATTGTACCTGGTCGAAGGATAATAAAAAAAAATATTGAAAATTATTTCGATCGCTCGATAAATTTTTGTTTTCTTTTATATATATATGTGTGTGTGTTTGTGTGCGCGCGCGTGCGTTTGTATGTGTGTATGGAGTGTGTGGAGATGAGAGTAAAAGAAAGTTCTACATCTATTTTTTTGTTATTTTTTTGTTTATTGATTTGCAGTACTATTTACTTGTTCCTATGCTACCCGATCTCTTGATCCATTTTGTTTTTGTCTGGGTTTATTTCTTTTATGATGAACTCTTCTCTTTCCTTTTTTTTTTTTTTATTAAAGAATACAATTTACGTAACGAGTTTATTAGAACGTATTGAAATTTTATGATTCGGAGACGAAAAGAACATTTCTATTTTTTTATCTATTCTTCTTTTGTTGCGTTATAATTACTATTAGTTTATATATTTTTGTTTTATTTTCTTATTTCTTTTTACAAGGATTGAAGAATAGAACTTTTTCATTGTTTTTATTAACGGTTATTGAAATTAAAACTAATTTCATATTCCATTTATTTCTTATCTTTGCGCTCATTTTGTTAAAGTTAATTTTATTTTTATTATTTAAAACTCGCGAATGTAAGAGTAGCTCAACTAGGGTGTATTCAAATTGCATAATTCTAAAAAACAGAAACGTTGTTATTCGTTATTTAAAATTGTACCTTATTTATTTAATTGTCGTTCATTCTCCCATATTTTAATAATTTTCGTAATATTTAAAATGTAAATATCGAACGCGACCTAAACACGATGTATTAAAAAATCGTATAATTAAAAAAAAAAAAAAAAGAAGAAAACTTGTTCATTCTAATATTTAGAATTTATTTAAATTAAATTTCATTGATATCATCGTTGTCCACATTTTTCCGTTCAACTTTTTTTTCTTTTTTAATTATCTAAAACACGGAACGTTTAAATAGTTTAATCCGCGGTATATTGAAAAATTGTGTTCAAGAAAATAAATTGGTTTTTTTCCTCCCCCCTCCTTCATTTTTTTCCCCCTCCTCCCTTCTACCATTTCTTTTTACTTAAGTTTAATATATCCCCATCATCGTTC